TTTCTCCGGTGTCTAAAAATTGGTACCGAACTTGTCTGGGAAAAAATCACTCTCTGCAATCCAATTGGGAACGCTCCATCCTGGCTATTTCAGAACTTCAGGAAGAACTGCTCGACCAGCATTCTACGGCATTCAAGATGAAATGAAAATCCTCAGGCAGCAACCGAAGCCACACGCAAAAAGTTGGAAGATCTTCATGGACAATGGATGCGAGGAAGCGAATCGAATATGAGAAGTGCTGGGATCCGCACCGTAGACGTGAAGACAGGTTATATAAAATAAAGATTAAAAATATATGCATATACACAGTCCACTTTATACTACACTAGTAAGTGTATTAAGCAGAAAAGGTTTTATTTGGCCCTTTCTTAATCGTTTAGCTTCGTTTTGAACTTCAATTAGACTTTCGGTCTTTGGTCGCCTTTACATAAGGTGTTGGTTCGATGAAGTGTGGTAGTTAATACTTTTTTTTCACCTATTAAATTTTGATTAAGGTTTGTTTTTCTGTCATAACTAGAATCAGCGTAATTGTTTGCACATAGTTAAATACTAGGTATTACATACGTGTTAATGTATTTTCAACTGGAAGCTTAGCGGACCCCACAGATGGTAGACCAGTTAATGCAACCAGAACTGAAATAATCGGAAATCTCATTCTTCGATTTCTGATTCTTCCCAGTCCTTTTCCTTCTAAAGTGAGAATGCAACTGTGCCACTTCAAATACTCCGCTTCTTTGGTTACTCTGAAACACTACACCTGCCAAATTATAAACATCATTTCAATAACAAATAATCCTCCAAGTGTACAAAAAGTGCTTCTTCTCCACTAATGATGCCCATGTTCCAGATTTTATTAACTACGTATTAATTTTCCACTCGTTGACGGGTGATTGCTGTTGGCAAAAGATCGATAAAACTAGCTGAGAGACAGGCAAAACGAAGAACCCGGATGGAGTGGTGGTGAAGTGCCCTACTCCCCGGTAAGAACAATAGCGCGTTCGTTCTCCAGCGCATACACCTGCGGTCCGGAGTTTTGCAAATATCTCAGCATCATTAAAACTATATTTCTTTGTTTTCGTGAATTTGGATAGACAAAATATTTCCGTTTTGTTAACTGCGTAAAAAGAGAGGTTCAAAAGTAGGGTAATATCTCCCTATAATTAGTTGCTGCCAATATCTGAAATAAAGAATGTCAGGAAATGAAAGTCCATGGATGATCTCCCACCATTTCCGCTTTGCTTATGGTAATGATAAGCCAGAGGCAAATGCTGAGCGATTTCATGCAGAAAGATCGGCACTCCGCTGTAAGTAAAGAATGCCATGTTCTTGGAAAATGGAATTATTTCTGATGCCCGATTGCAGCTTAGCAACGCCAATATTCTAGCTGTGTATATCTATGCTAAACTATTTTGCTATAGAGATGAACAGTTGGGAAGACGTGGCCAGGAGAGGTCACAGATGCATCGTAAACGGAGCAGAATGTGGGGGTCGTTATAAGGCAGCCATCTAGGATGGCTAAGAGCACGAAATAAATGACACCCAATTGATGCTGACACTTTCGCACAAAGATCCATGGTAGAAATTGTGGACCTCTCGCAGTCCACATTAAACAGGTCAGCCCTTGGAAACACTGGTTCCGGATAGATCGAATAAAGACTGCAGCTAGTAATTGAATGCGTTGCTTAATGACTTTGAGGATTCCAGGTGAAGGAAAATGGTGTTAAAGAAAGGCATGCTGGCTTAAGAATAAACTGCAGTCGATTATCTATACGTCGGTGGAAGTGAGAGGTCGTTCAAGGAATTAAAAAACTAAGGTCCGTATAGAGGATTTGGTACCTTGAGGGTGTTCAGGCATATGAGGACTAGGAAAAGTAAGGTTAGATGTCTCACCGTTGACGATTTAGTTCGACTTCGCCTCTTATCCGATGAAAAAGCGCATTCACATGTTGGCAATGTGTTCAGTCCCGTGCGTTCCTCAGAGACTTTCGAGCTGAAAAAGTAGTAAGTAGTTCATTGATCAAAGTTTGTTTCCATTATGCAATTCGAAAATGTGATGATCTAAAAAAGCTGTGCAATTTTGCCTGCTTTCCACACAGCTTAAGCTTACTGTACAGACCACCAGCCACTACCTCAAGGAAATGGAGAACAAGTTCTTCACCAGGGAAGAAGTAACGAATTCGAGGGGAAGAAATCGCTATTAGTCGATGTGGCAGAACCGTAAAAGCGGATAGCTTCCACAGAAGAAACTAAATGAGTGTGACGACTAGAATGTTGAACTATTCCACTTAACATGGCACTTAGTGAAATAGATTTCGTTTTAGTTATCACATATGCATCGTCAGCTAGCATTATCACTTTTATCCTTTATCCTTTTATTGCCGCCGTCTTGAATTGGTGATGAAAATTTCATTCATGTTGAGAAATCGGTCTTTCAAAAAAGAAATCGACTGTACCTTTTAGTAGAAAAAGCTCAAACCAAGCAGTAGTTTTTCAGACACCCCTTTCTTGGCCGACGCTATCGATCAAGGAGCCGTGTTTTGTTGCGCTTCCTTTTCCATTTGACCTGTATTATGTTGCTAGGAGAGGATTCGTCTTCCTATCTCTAGCGTACTCCCTCCGGGATCTCTTAGATCATCATCAGCATGAATGATTTTGCATAGGAAAAGTCTTTGCTTTGAATATTGTAGCTCTTATTTGACGCAAGGGAAAGTCGTCCTTTGGATTTTTGCTTTGTCTTGAGTCCCGCCTCCATTGCGCGCTCAGCTGGTGTAAGAGACATGAGGTAGATCTAGTTTTTAATATGTTGCCCAATAATTTTCAGAGCTTAACTACAATTAATTACAAAGTCTTACCTTCTATTACCTTCGGCACTGATAAACATTCCTATTTTCTTGATTAGTTTGGTAAGCTGCGTCTTCGTCGTCGTCACAGTTTTACCAGTTGAGCTTTCCAGCTGAAAACTTGAGCGATTCCGCATCTCCTTTCAACTTGAGTGGTTCAACTCAGAAGATGGATCAACCTACTACACACTGCTATTCGACATCCAGAAACACCTTGCAATCATGATGAACTGATAAACCACCAAGAGAGTGTATAAGGACTGCTTTGTACATCCTGTATTTTTCCGTTTCATTTTCAGATAATTGTTGTCCTTATCAGCAATCATGTATCTGAAAATTCACGCATTAAGCTTGTGTTGTGGAGAACTCTCTCATCAAACAAAATCACTGTTATAAACAACAAACAACATGGTACGTACTTTGCCACACTACTGTATACCGCTTGTTTATTCAGCAGTTTCAGTATTTTACACTAAATAAACGAGGAAGACTATAAAGTCGTTTTTTAATGAGGGTTTATGGATTAGAGTACATTTAAGGTGTGGCATCACTGAACAGTTGAATTGGGAGAGCGGTTTGTGTATTTCAGATTATTCCGTTGATCTTTTGTATTAAGTTGGACATTTCGACGAAAAAAAATCTACGCGACACACACACCACACAACATGAACATTCCTAATTCAGTATTCGGTTCATAGAAGATGGCTTTCAGGTTTAATGTGATGAGAGACTTGAAGAAGAGAGGCACCCATAGAAGAAGAGAAACGTTGTGATAAAGAGAAAAAAGGAAAAACTGCTAAACTGAAGGAAATGAAGGATAGGTAATATGATGAAGGAGAGGCAAAAACGACACGCGAAAGTCGTTAGTGATCGAGTAGAGTAAACGGGTAGAGAGAGAAGAAAATCGACTAAAATCGGAAGAAATTGTTTCTACTCTGTCATTTAGACTGATCCAGACAACGACTTTCTAAAATTTTGCTTATTGCTTAAAATGGATCGCCAATGTTTCCATATAGGATACTCGATGGAGTATTTCTAGTCAACAAAAATACTCTTTAACTCAATAAGACTTCCACTTTGTTGAACATTGCAAAGAAAGATGAGGAAAAGCACAAAGTGGATTTGCATCCAAACCTAGCAGTGGGTACCAAGGTTCCTCTTCTTTTAAAGGCTATCACACAGCATTCACAGCATGACGTCGTTTGATGTTCATTGTATGACCATGATATTTCTGATTACCTGACCGGGAATTCTATGGATGCACCATATTCGGAATAGAGTTTGTTTCATTTCCATTAACGAACAAGGATACTTTCTACGATGACACATCGACAATAAATGATGATAATCGACGACTCATTTAACAATAACTGCGTCATGGAATGAACGACACAACTGTACAGATCGTATACGAAAAGAAAACCTCTCGTTATTTCATAAAACCACTTCAGAATCGTTGCTGAAACCAGTAGCCGTGTAGTTTTTAACACGGCGTCACTTGATGTGATTCGTAATGCTACTTGGTCAGTAGTTTTATGATATCCGCTTATATATCATGTATAAAGGCGAATAAGTGTCGTCATCGTCGTCATTGTCGATCATCTTCAGCTCTTCCTCAATCTCGGCGATCACCCACATTCTGTACGATTCCGACGGCGATCTCAGAGTATGGTAAGGTTTCATTTCTGTTCATCGCACGAGACCTTTACAGGCACCGCTAACCATTCAATTGTAGCTAACTGTATTTTGAAGCTAAGCCTTGTCAACGAATAGTGCAGAGCTAAACGAAGGCCCAACTAGGAATTGCCTTGATATAACTCGGATCTGAAGTTATCATGAGCTTATCGATATTCTGATTCTAAAAGTTTCTAACGATGGACAAACCGCTCTGAAACAGTTTATGATGAACTGCTGTGGACGCCAGAGTGGTAGATCCACAGAAAAGCAATGACGAGTTCAGATGCAAAACTATTAAATCTGAAACACAACTGAAGACGTAGGTGCTGCAACAGTTGCCGTCGTAATAATCCGTAACAATCTTATACTATTTTTATCACTTCCTAAACTACTTGATCTTGACTGCTCGATCGATTTCATATCGTTCACCTCACCTTTTCTTCATTCTAGGTTCCTCAGATTCTTATTCTTGTGCTCTTTTCGATGACATCAACATTTGCATGTCTTCCTGGTCTTGGTGGCTTAGGTGGCCTAGGAGGCCTTGGTGGCCTTGGTGGTCTTGGTGGCGGCACTGGTGGTGCTTGTTGCCCACCGCCTTGCATACCAGCACCTGGATGCAAAAGGTTTATTTCTCTATTTCTTATTTACTCATAGTTTCAACATTGAGTACAACAATCGGTTGCAAAAGATATACTTCGTGGTGCGGTTGTGCAGCAATCCCGTGTAGAAGATGAAATATCTTAACGTTTAGCACCTTACAGTTATAGTTCACACAATACACTCTCTCCAGCATGCAATGAATTTGAAGGCAGACTCCATAAACTAACAAATCAATCAATAATTATAAAATTCAGTTTTCATATAAGCATTCATATAAGCATTGCCATTTTCAGTGGCCTAGGTTTCCCACCGAAAGGTGGCTATGCAGCTCCGCCTAGTGGTGGTTATGCTGTTGCTCCATCGTACCAAGCTCCTCCACCATCTTATCAAGCTCCTCCGTCCTATAAAGCTCCTCCACCATCTTATCAAGTTTCTCCACCTCTACCACCACTGCCACCACCGCTACCCTATCAAGCTCCTCCACCATACCAACCACCTCCAGCAGCTCCACCGCCACCAGCTCCTCCAGTTCAGCCTTACCAAGCACCACTGTATCGAGGTTATTCAATTAGTTAACTTTTTTAAACTTGCTACGATTTTCGGTCTTATTAACAGTTTGAAATATTTTTGTCTCTTTCGGATTTTTTCGTCTAAAGCACATTGCGTAATCTTTTCAGCTTCAACTACATATGGACTTACTTACGTTCCGGCGGCTGCCATACCGAAAGTACAGGTAGGCTTGAGAATTGCATTTACGCTAATACTATTTACAATTGTCACTTCACAAATCGTCATTTTATTTTAGAAAGCTGTACAAATCGTAGTTGAACGTGACCCTCTTCAAGGAGGCTCAACAGAAGACGTAAGAGCACAAAAAATTCTATTAGTTTCAAGTTTTTTCGGTCACACTTCGGGCAGTAATAGGACAGACATTATTTGATTCGCCGTACAGCCGTTGAGAACAATTTCACAAAGAAATCTGCTAACGATTTGCACATTTCCTATGTAGGAAATGATTAAATATTAAAGGAAATAAATTACTCGAATTCCTTTGCTTCCTTTTGCATCAACCAGTTCGCCTTGCTTCTATCTGTTTCTGCATTCCTCTACCGATCTACCTTCTTCGTTTCTATCTGCTTCTATGTTCTTCTTTCTACATCATTCCGCTTTATTCTGTTTCTAACCGATTCTATTCTTTCCTACTTTTTTCCACCTTTATCTTTATTCGTGTTTTTCTTGCCTCTTCATGGCATTTATTTCAGATTCTCTCCTCTTTTTCACTCCCCTACCTGAATATGTTTCATCCGAAAAGACTATTGCATGCGTCGTTGGCACAAAGCAATTTTATGTTGGATGATGAAAAAATGTCTGCTGAGACTGGTCTGGGCTGCTCTGAAGATTAGCAACCAATCACATACATATACGACCACTCATCGGCAAATTTACGCTTCAGTAAACAGCAAACAATCACTTTTTTTTTGTAAATTTCATTGGAATTTATAATGAGAGTGCTTGTCTGTTTGCACAAAGAAGAAGCAATCACCATAACTCGCTGATGCCCATTTAGTACAACAAAGTGCATTTCTGGTAGTACTTCTACTTTGCATGACATTGCATAGCATTTTCTGCGGATCCCGGCAGCTCTTTCATTCGATTTGTTTTCCTCGCAGATTCGTCAACTACAAAAGTGATCAGATTTATATGAGAGCTCGGTTACCACTTGAGGAGTTCTAACATTCTTCATGACTGCTACTGATTACTGCGGATTCCTGGTCCTCTTCATGAATGCTGTCGAATGCAGTCTAATCGACTTGCCTTGGAATCATGACATAACTATGCTAGAGAGTTCTCAAATTTTGCCACAGGCGATCGTGAGTCTTCGTAGATTAATAGGATCTCACACCACACGAGTATGGCCATCATTTTATGACGTCTAGGAATGGGAAGCTTGGCTGCCATAGTTTCGAGTCGAACCAAGATCTTGCATGTGTTATTGGACGTGTTATTGTCAGAATAATAATGAAGACATCAAAAATATCGCTGAGTTTTTTAGTATTCGCAGAGTAAAGCTAATTGAAAAGAAATAGAAAGAATAAAAACCCATTGAACGATTCCATGTTTTACATCATGACCTATTCATTTAATCCCCATTCATCTAAGCAATATTCCGTCTGATCCCTCTTCTGTTACGGTAGGGTACAGTACTCCACTATCACTACGTTGTTTTGTATCACATCCAGTATGAATCTGAACAATCTGCTATGACGATTTCTATATTACTAGACGAAGGTCTCATATTTGCTTCACATTTTCAAACTTGATATTCCCATTGTGGGATAGAGACTGCAATCAAAGTAAATACAACTATTTTCCTTCGTATTTTACTTCCGTTTTCTAATGGCTATAGATATCCATGTGTGTATGTATACAGGTGTGTGCTTGTGTATGTGTGTACTTGTCAATTCCCGAATTTAGTTCTTTGACGTGGCCTTCATTCTGCCATACCCATTCCTCACGGGAGCGCTTCCAAATAGGACAGTGATAATGGCGATTCTGGCAGTGGTTTTTAGACGAAGACCTTCACTTCATTTATTTTCATTGCAACCATTCCATATTACATTAATCACTGTTTTCTTCTACGAAAAAACTTTGTTTTATGGTAACTTTTGGAAAATTTGCGGAATATAGAGAGGAAGGGAATGATTTAAAGGTGAGAAAAGAATGGATAAGATAGCTTAATTTTTCATTTATATCACATACAGTGAAAATCTCAGCCGTTCATTCATTCGCATCCGTCATCTACTCAGATCTCTGGATTTGCATGTGTTTTGGACTGTCACTTGAGGGCTTGGTCTCCTTCATTAATCCTGAGCAAATCGACTCTTCCCGGAATCCTGGGATAGTCGTGCTAAGGCTTTGCTGTAGTTTCATCGCAGGCAGTTATTAACTTCTGCGGATTGGAAGGACATATCTGACTCTATACAAGTATGATACCATTTTCCATAACCAGGAAATAGGGGGATAGGTTAGAGCAGTGTGTAGTTGAACCAATCAATGACGCGTAATAAACAGCATCTGTAACACTGCGCTACCGGCGGGATTAGAATGCAAACAAACTAGGGCAAATGGCTACATGACTCTCGATTACTTTCCAGGTTAAAGCACAATATCACTACTATTGTTTCAGCCAGCGGACCCCAATACGCCGCCATCGACCCTGTTGTTGATTGAAAGCAGCAATGAATTGAACAAGTAGGGATTGCAATCGCCACAGAACAGTTTTCGTGATATCGTGATTATATTGCTCCATAATTATTTTCTTACATACATCTATTGTAATAACTTTGTATAGTGTGATTTTTAGAATTAAATTATGCCTGTGTTCGAATAAATTGACTAACTTGGCCAACTACAGCTTCACTTTAATGAGAATCATTTGATGAAACACAGAATAAATGAACAAGCCGTTTAGTACCGGGAAAAAAACTGTGGATAAAAAACATTGAAAACCAATTGAATGTCGATAATTGATGGTATTGATCGATAGAACTAGATGAGAGACAGACGAAACGAAGAACCTGCATGGTGTGGTGGTGAACATGCTAGCGCCGAAAAGGGTAATAGAGCGTTCGTTCCCTACGGCAGACGGGTGCGGTCTGGAGTTTTGCAAATATCTCAGCAACGTTGTGCTTGTATTTCGCATAATAACCAGTCCTGAAAATTGTAGAAGGCAGGAAATAAAAAGTAAACATTGGAAACTAAGCTCCACAAAATAGAGTCACGTTTTAAACAGGTGACGATGTTTACAATGCGAAAAAATGATTTACGAGTCCTAAAGCAAACGATGAGGACCGCGAAAAAGGCGATGAATGTGGAAAAAAATCCACAAGTACGAGTGAGTTCGAGGATGGCTACCTGCTAGTCTAAGTTCAGCATCCGTCAAGTCTGGGCTTTGGTTGAACCAAATCTAGGGTGCGATTCTATACAGTGTCGGATCCCATTATGGCGTGCCTTGAAATACTAACCAGTACTCTGTCCGATACCATCTATTCTGAGACTCTATTAAAATAAGTCTGAAATTTGAAGTAGTATAAGAGACACCGTGCCATACACGCAAGGTCGCTGTTTCAATCGCACCACGAATAAATAAGGTTTTCCACACCTCTGTGGTCAGTGGACTGATGCCAGCCTCGGCTGGTAAAGACTTCCTCCGATTCACAAAGGCTGGAGGGTTTTTTCTCTCTAGACAGAAAACGGAATCAACTTGACCAGAATGCAACAATGTTTTTGAAAAAGACAATATTCTCAAGTCGAACCCACAAACAAATCCGCAGATCTCAGCGTATAACGAATGAAAGGCATAGAAAAGAATTGAAGTCTTTGGATCCGCATAATATGCAAGACGCAGTCAAATCACCAAATTAGTAAGTAAACAAAGTTTAAAAGTTTACCTTTTCCGCGGTCCTCAACCTTAAGACGTGTGCAACACAGTGGTTAGTGTTTGGTATCACATATATAGACTTTGGCTCGTTTTCGTGGTTTTTTTCAAGCCTTTCATTCCTCTGGAATCGGCAAATTGGTGCCAGAGCTGCTTGGGAGAATAGCGGCACTAACTTGATACATCGACAAGCCACCATAAGTCGTTGTATACTCACCTCTAAAGATGCGTGGTGGAAGTCGACTACATGGCGCGTCCCTGAGGGACTGACCAACGCCGAATGCTTTATTTCTTTGTTTTATGAAACTGTTTCTACACCTAATCTAGATAAAACACTTTTGACTCATTTGAATAAATTTAGAGCTAACAGTTAAAATACAGTGATTTCCTTAAGAGTAACTCAGAAGTAGGAGAAGGTGCTTATCTGACTATAGTTCAAGTGAACTTAGGAAACTTATCTTCATTCACGCTGGATTTTCTTGTCAAAAATCCAAAAAAGAAAAAAAGTTACGTCAAGATTTCTACTTATTTTTTTAAGGTAAGTATGAATACTTAGTGAGGTGAAAAGTAGAAACTCACCTGTAGAGAGGTACGTGATGTACTCCTAATCAGCAATGATTCACTCAAACTATAATGGTGATCTATAAAATTATTCGCCGAAATTCTTTTTTATCTTTAGAGGATTTCTGATTTTTATTAATTACGGTTCCGCATTGCCGCGTGTGGCGCAGTGGTTGGAGGCGCCACTGCGACACATGCCTTTATCGATCTCCGTGCTTGTGGCCCATCAACCTTTCCATGCTTCCGGGGTCGGCAAATTGGTACCAGACTTGTCTGTCTGGGACGATAGCAGCGCTGGCTCGATACATCGGTAAGCCACCGCGAATCATTGTAAAGGCCAGATATGCATTCAATCACCTCCAACGATACTTAATGAAGTCGTATGCATGGCGCATTCCTTAGAGATTGATCAACGTCGAAAACTTTATCCTTTTAATCCTTTAACGGTTGCGAAACGATAGAATATTCGTCGAGAAACGGAATAGCTGAGTATTAGATTCGAAAGCTTCACTAAATGTCAGTTGGACACACAATCTAATGGATGCCGCAATGATATGCCGTCCTATTAAAGATGAATGAGAAATCGCCTTGCGTTGATCAATTCTTGATGATCATGCATTCGACTCTTTTCCGAGCATCGCAGAAGTGATTGAATGCATACCTGGTATATGTAATCGTTTGAACTGTCTTACCAATGTATCAATTCAGCTGTGTATACGAATCAACGGTTGGAACAGCTTGGTTTATAAACCCAATTCTTATTCTGCCGATGAAATACGTGCCAGCCCACCTAACAAATGTCGAAATGTTCGTGGATCGTCTACGCGACGCGCGTCCTAACAAAACGCGTGTAATGAAGTTGTTCGACGTTACCGCCCATTATGCAAACGTGCCGAATGAGTCAGCTATGTAAGCTATGCTCGAACTCCTTATAGAACACAAAGGAGCGATAAACATGTATGCCTTATTGATTGAGAAGCTCTTGGCCGTCCTAAAAGAATGGTTAAACTGCTGGATCTTTGCCCAGTATGTGTACAGAAAGAGAGCCGAAAGAAGAAATATCGAACATGGCGCCAAAAACACCCGTTGTGCATTTCATTCAGCTTTCTCAATAGAGTTTGGGAAACTTGCGGTCTTGCGTTGTCATGAGGCAATATTGGTCCTTTTCTTTTGATCATTGTCGGCTACTCCTTAGCCATTGTGCAAAAAGGCGACGATTATCACCCAGTATCCACTTTTCATCAGAAGTTATAAAGTTAAAGCGAATCAGCAACGGATTGCAAATCTCCAGACGTTGAGTTTATTGCTTAATTCGTGAGGGTCCAACTTTTGTAAATATCTCAACATCTTAGTGGTTGCATTTCACATCATACCCGGCCGTGAAAAACAATGATAGGTAGTCAA